TGGTAGGCCTGATCACCGACAACGTCGAGACAGCCTATAGGGAGGAGGTCAGAGACCTGGCCGTGTGGTCCTAGGACAACAACCTCTCCCTCAACGTGATCAAGACAAAGGAGATGATTATGGACTACAGGAAAAAGAAGAGGACCGAGCATGCCCCCATTCTCATCGACAGGGCTGTAGTGGAGCATGTTGAGAGCTTCAAGTTCCTTGGTGTCCACATCACCAACAAACTAACATGGTCCAAGCACACCAAGACTGTTGTGAAGAGGGCACGACAACACCTAAGGAGTCTGAAAATATTTAGCATGGGTCCACAGATCCTCAAATGGTTCTACAGCTGCACCATCGAGAGCATCCTGACTGGTTGCATCACTGCCTGGTTTGGCAACTGCTCGGCCTCCGACCGCAAGGTACTACAGAGGGTAGTGCGTATGGCCAAGTACATCACTGGGGCCAAGCTTCCTGCCATCCAGGACCTCTATACCAGGCGGTGTCAGAGGAAAGCCCTATAAATTGTCAAAGACTCCAGCCACCCTAGTCATAGACTGTTCTCTCTTCTACTGCACGGCAAGCGGTACCGGAGCGCCAAGTCTAGGTCCAAGAGGCTTCTAAACAGCTTTTACCCCCAAGCCATAAGACTTCTGAACATCTAATCAAATGGCTACTCAGAATATTTGCATTGCCCCCCCCCCCACCCATCCCCCCACTTTTACGCTTCTGCTACTCTCTGTTTATTATCTACGCGTAGTCTATTTAATAACTCTACCTACATGTACATATTACCTCAATTCCCTCAACTTTTTTATGCCCATAACCATGTGTGTGAGGTGTATACTTTTCTTTCAAAGTAGATTTTTTAAAGACTACCAAGAAACATTCTGTGTGACCCTGATTTAGCCTACTGCAGTAAAAGGTTAAAATAGAGGCCTCGTATCTTTAGTCATTTCTTTGGGAGCACCCCCTTTCTTCGTTCTCTCTCTGTCTCTCAGACAGATGTTGTTTCAGAGTTTGATGGCCAATTATGTCTAAGTATCTGAAACTACAAGATGATTGCGGGGGGAAATTATGTTAAGCCAATGAAGGGTTTAACCCGAGTCCTGATGCAACAGTTTTGCCCCGCTTCAACGCAATCAGGCCGGCTTCGTTGTGATTTGTCGAGGGATTAGAATGCTGAAAGATGAAAGTTCTGTCCAGAATGCTAATTAGCGGTCAGACCGAACTGCCATCGCTATAGCAACAGGTTCACTGATTGAGTGTGTGTGTGTTCGGTGATTGGGAGAGCAGGGCTAAACTTTCCAACCTGTCTAAACAGTTCTCTCTGTTTCACACACTGGAAGGAAAGTTGGACAGCATCATCCATATTCATTATTTCAGAATTATTTTGTTTAGATAGAAAGCATACGCTGGTGTGTTTCAATTAAATGTTGGGTTGATTTTCTCATATTTACTGGTGACGGAGGAGGCTTTTAGAATAGACATCAAGAATATGACCAGCATCATTTGTTTCTACCTGTATGTTGGAAATTAACAGTCTGTTGTTTGGCTGGGCGATATGGCCAAAATGTCGTATCACTGTATTTTTCTAATTTCTAATTTATTACGGTATTTTATGGTATTTTATGTTTTTGAATAATATAAATTCTAAATTTGCTTCATGAGTAGTGCGTGATCCTACGGTGGCAACACGTACTGTACTTTCTAAGTGATTTCAATGGGTCTTTCTCCATTCTGATTGTTTAATACTGTTCAATTAAACTTCAACCCCCCCAAGAAATCTGCATTTTCATAAATGTCTGCATTTCTTGACCTCATTTGAGATAATTTCCACACTGCCACGTAATGCTGCATGATATTGGCAAAAAATGTAGGCCTTATTTTTAACAAAATGTTGCAATTATCATTATACTTCTAAAGTTAGAATATAATAGTGGGCACTTTGAAAACAGTGTTGTTTGACATGACAACAAATGAAAATGCCAGGGAGGAGTTATTGTGACAGGGTAGGAACCAAAGTGTTGGTCAGTGTTTCCTAGGGGACCATATAATCTTTGGCTACATTACATTTTTTCTCTTAGCTACTTCATGTAGCTATCATATTCATGCTTCGCCTAATCCTCTTTGATTTAGAAGATACTGTTGCACAAACAACATGCTGATTTAGGCCTATACCATCACTGGTATCAGGCTGTAGCTAGCTGCATTTGCTCTGACTCAGTACATTTATCAGCTATCTAGCTAGCTAGCCAACTAACTAGCGATTAGCATTAGCGGCTAACAACTTGCTTAGAAAAGACAAACTGGCTGTTTGCAGATGTTAGAAACACAAACTAATAGTGTAATTATAGAACACTTGTGGATTTATATTAAGAAGTGGAAACAGCATTGTTGTGATCAACATTGTTGCATGTGCTGCATTGACCATGCAGACTGAATGCAAGTGTCTCGTGGTCGAGCAACAACAAATGCGCTCCTTGAGTGACAGGGCTAGATCTTTGTGGAAAGCGGCATGGAGAGAGAGAGACAGCGGAGAGAAATGACTCAAGTAGCGGAGTAAACTATAAAAATGGACAATACACACGGCGTATCACATTTAACAAACCAAACATTCAAATACCATTATAGAAGGTAAAGTAAAAACCCAAACCGGTCCGTGCATCAATACTGGTATATAGTAAAAAACGCTGTACCGCCCAGCCCTAGTCTGTTATTTCAGATCTACATTGGACTAAGAGTTCTTCACTGAGCAAAACTGGGGAAAGGATTTGGTGAAGCACGGATTTTGGTGAAGCACGTCCTTAGGTAGAGCGATAGTAAAGAAACCCACCTGGCCACTAGACCAAACTGCCTGACAATCACCAGACTCCTTCACATGGAAAAAGCTCCATACACAATCAAGGAAGTCTGTGTAGTCCTCACACTCAACCTCAGCTCTGAGAGAAATAAACAAAACGTCATAAAGGCTTCTTTATTCCTCAATAACTATCCCCTTTAACTCCATAATCACCGCTCTCAAGGGAACCAGCCGCGCATGTGTGTGAGTGTGCCTCTGTGCATTGTGTGCGTGTGTGCTGTGTGTGTGTGTGTGTATGTCGTTCCCTCTCAGTCTCCTGTGATGTCCGACTGGTTCCGCTCCACACAGATGGGTCCGTTTAGCTGCCAGCCGCGTCTGTAATTTACCCGCATTCATTTCTCCCTCTGTTTTTTTCTCTCTCTATCCTCATCTGTCATTTTTTCTCTCTCTATCCTCATTTGTTGTTTTGTTTTTCAAACTGATGAAATAGAAAGAGAGAGAGAGAGGGAAAGAGAGAGATTGAGGAAGAGAGTTGGCCTTGAGTAGAACACAAATCTGTTCTATGTCACTGGTACTCATGACATCATCGTAGTTATTGCCTGTACACAGGGCATAGGGATTCCCTTGGTCTGTAAAAACTCCTGGCCCTACCTATGACATAAACTCCTAAATTATTTCCTCCGTGGTACTGTAGTCCCAGGTCAGGAGCCAGCCTGTGGAAGGCCCAGTGGATTGAAAGCAGCTGACGGAGAGTCTGTTTCCGTCTGTTTTAGTACTCAAGGCTTTGGGTGAAATGTGTCAAGCCTTTACCGGCTTGTCGACCCGTCAAGTTAAATTATCCTCAAAATCAGAGCTTTTACTTTCTAGTCTAAAACCCCTTCTCTTTCTCTCTCCTTTCCTCATTTTTTCCCACTTTACCGGGCTGGAAAAACACGGGCGGAGTTTCCAGCAAGCTGCATTCTCGCGCGCGGCTAGCTAAGGGAGGCAGGGGGGAGCGCCCGAGAAGAGCGGCGGAGAGAGCGAGCAAGCGAGAGCGCGAGCGCTCTCGCGCTCCTAGCTCACATCAACGCACACTCTCGGCCCTCTCGCATCTCTCTCCGCGTCGCTTCTTCTCGCTCTCTCTCTCTCTCGCTCTTTCTTTCTTTCTTTCTTTCTTTCTTTCTTTCTTTCTTTCTTTCTTTCTTTCTTTCTTTCTTTCTTTCTTTCTTTCTTTCTTTCTTTCTTTCTTTCTTTCTTTCTTTCTTTTTCGCTCTCTCTCCTGTCTCTATCTCCACTCCAGTCTAATTTGCATCCCATCTGAGTGAAATGAGAGGAAAGTTTCGCAATAGCCAGCTGCACTGACCAGAAAATAGTTGCCTTTATGTGTGTGTGTGTGTGTGTGTGTGTGTGTGTGAGATTTGAAAGTTGAAATGTGATATGTGTTCATCAATCAGTAGTCTATACAGAGCCTGAAAAGACTGGTGCTCTGAACTGAGAAGGTGGTCTGTGCATCTCCTCACCCCAAATCAGATTCATACTGAGTTGACTCATTGTGTGTGTCTATTTGAGTGTGTGTGTGTGCACGTGTTTTTAAGCCTAGCTGTCTGCTTCCCCTTTGGTAGATCCTAGTCCCAGAAACTCTATGAAACCACACTGGTTTATTTTCCTTTCTTTGAAGGAATATAAATGTTTTCTCTCTCTGAATTACTGCTCTGAACATGAGTGGAAACAGATGGCAACATATGAGGGGAGACAAAGTATCTCTCTCTCTCTTGCTCAAGGACACACACACACATACACTCACTCACTCACTCACTCACTCACTCACTCACTCACTCACTCACTCACTCACTCACTCACTCACTCACTCACTCACTCACTCACTCACTCACTCACACACGCACACACACACACATGCACACACACACACACCAACACACACACACAAACACACACACACACACTCTTAAACTCAAACACACTTGCAAATACACATGTATGAAAACATGCATACACATGCACGTGCACACACTATAATGTGGTTACTTAAATGTACACAGATGTTTAGTCACTTAAACACACAAACACACACACATATTCCCCCCGCCCCCTGCCCCCTGCCCCCTAATCCTCCAATCCCCCCCCCCCTTCTCTCTCTCTGCAGTGGGAGGAGATCAGTGTGATGGATGAGAGGAACACTCCCATGCGTACCTACCAGGTGTGTAACGTGATGGAGGCCAGTCAGAACAACTGGCTGAGGACGCGGCACATCGCCCGCGACGGGGCCCAGCGTGTCTACATCGAGATCAAGTTCACCCTCCGAGACTGTAACAGCCTGCCTGGAGTACCCGGCACCTGCAAAGAGGTCCGTCTGCTCATGGTTTACATTCTGTCAACAATTGTTCAGTACTCCTTGCTTCATGTGTGATGAAGGTCATGGTTGACTGAAATGTCGCAATGTTTTGAATCTTGACCTAGAGAGGTGATCTTTCTGTCAAATAGTTTTTCCATAGAGCTACTGCATAACAAAACATAAAATATTAATCAAATGTAAATGTCAATTTGTGTGTTTTCCAGACGTTCAACATGTTCTACTATGAATCCAACAACGCCAACCTGTGGTTCATCAAGGAGAGTCAGTACGTCAAGATAGACACCATCGCTGCTGATGAGAGCTTCACACAGGTCAGTGAAAACACAGACTCCCAAGGTAAAGATTGCCTCTAACTACAGATCCAGGATCAGCGTACCGTTACCTCCAATCCTAACATTAACCTCAGATTGCCCTAACCATTCTTATCTTAACCATTAGGAGGATGAAAAAAGATCTGACTCTGGACCTGGAGTTAAGGGCAACTTACATACTGAGGGCAAAACAATCCCCGTAATAATAATGACAATAAATATCCTTTCCTACTAGGTCTGTTCTAGCTGAAACAGAACTGTAAAATAGCCCAAAGTTGTACTAAATCTGGTTGCTTTCCCTCTCCCTAGGTGGATGTGGGTGACCGTGTGATGAAGCTCAACACCGAGGTGCGTGACATCAGCAACCTGAGTAAGAAGGGGTTCTACCTGGCCTTCCAGGACCTGGGAGCCTGCATCGCTCTGGTCTCTGTCCGTGTCTTCTACAAGAAGTGTCCCCTCACCGTGCTCAACCTGGCCCAGTTCCCCGACACCGTCACGGGGGGTGACTCGGCCCTGGTGGAGGTCAGAGGGGTGTGTGTGAACGCTTCAGAGGAGTTCGAGGCCCCCAGGATGTACTGTAGCGCCGACGGGGGCTGGCTAGTGCCCATCGGGAGGTGTGTGTGCAAGCCGGGGAACGAGGAGCATAAGGACTTCTGCCAACGTAAGTGGATACAAGGTTTATCATGTGTGTGTGTGTTGGTTTGTGTCGATGGGAAGATGTGTGTTTAGGCCTGGATAAGAAGGACCTCAGCTGAATCTGGTAATGAATGGTGTGGCTGTTGAACAAGTTGAGGAGACTAAATTATTTGGCGTACCTTAGATTGTAAACTATCATGGTCAAACCATACAGATTCAATGGTTGTAAAGATGGGGAGAGGTCTGGCCGTAATAAAGAGATGCTCTGCTCTTTTGACACCACACTCCAAAAAGCAAGTTCTGCAGGCTCTAGTTTTGTCTAATCTGGATTATTGTCCAGTCGAGTGGTCCAGTACTGCAAGGAAAGACCTAGTTAAGCTGCAGCTTGCCCAAAACTTCATTGTAATCAGAGGGTTGATATAAATACTATGCATGCCAGTCTCTCTTGGCTAAGAGTTGAGGAGAGACTGACTGCATCACTTCTTCTATTTATAAGAAACATGAATGTGTTGAAAATCCCAAATTGTTTGCATAGTCAATTTACACACAGCTCTGACACATACACTTACCCCACCAGACATGCCACCAGGGGTCTTTTCACAGTCCCCAAATCCAGAACAAATTCAAGAAAGCGTACAGTATTATATAGAGCCATTCTTGCATGGAACTCCGTTCCATCTCATATTGCTCAAATAAACAGCAAACCTGGTTTCAAAAAACCGATAAAGCAACACCTCACAGCACAACGCCTCTCCCCTATTTGACCTAGATAGTTTGTGTGTATGTATTGATGTGTAGGCTACGTGTGCCTTTAAAATTGTTTTTATGTAGTTCTGTCCTTGAGCTGTTCTTGTCTATTCATGTTCTGTATTATGTCATGTTTCATGTTTTGTGTGGACCCCAGGAAGACTAGCTGCTGCTTTTGCAACAGCTAATGGGGATCCTAATAAAATACCAAATACCAAATGGCCTGTCCCAATGTGAATGGATACAAGGTTTATAATGTGTGTGTATTTGTTTGTGCCTGTGCTAGTCTGTGGCTTTACGTACACAACCAATACAATGGCAGCCATTCTTTCCTCAGAAAGCTCACCACACATTGGCTAACCAGTGGAGGCTGCTGAGGGGAGAACAGCTCATAATAATGGAGCAAATGGAATGGCATCAAACACCTGGAAACCATGTGTTTGATGTATTTGATACCATTCCACTGATTCCGCCCCAGTCATTACCATGAGCCCGCTCTCCCCAATTAAGGTGCCACCAACCTCCTGCGCGGCTAACGTTATGACAGTGGAGAGGTGGGCAGAAAATCTATTAGGAATCGGGATTATACTGTACTGTACCTGGTGGTGCCATGTGGGTCCTGTTAGATGGGACAAATCAGCCATTCTATGCAGTATTCTATTATACACTGAACAATGTGAAGTTACATTACATGTGTTGTATTGAGTGTGAAGTGTGAATTTCAGTGACATGTTTTTGGAAAACATTTCGAAAACGTGAACAAGCGTCCAGGGGGATAGGGCGAACAGGATGCTAGGCCACTGATGTTTTTCCACCATGGTATCGCGATACTACTTGGTATCGTGATACTACTTGGTATCGTGATACTTGGCCTGGTATCGTATCGTTTGTAAAATATTGGTATCGTGACAAGCCTAGTCCTGATAGATGGGTCCTAGTGCCATGTGGGTCCTGTTAGATCTAGATCTACTGTAGTTAGAATGGAGAAACTGTGCAAGAGAGAATATGAATACAGATAGACGGCAGCGTTGTGGGAAACAATGTGGCTTACCAGGACGGAATGATAATGACTGTGGGTATGTGGGTTACTACACCCTGCTGTGTAGGCTGTGTGTGTGTGTGTGTGTGTGTGTGTGTGTGTGTGTGTGTGTGTGTGTGTGTGTGTTGGTGTGGCTGTGTGTGTGTGGGTGTGCGAGAGAGAGTTTTAGGCAACCCCCTACGTAGCGAGGACCATGTTCTGAAAGAGAAGGTTGGGAGTTGCTTGGAGGCAGTTTGTGTTTGTGAGTGTGTGTACAAGAGTGTGAGTCTGATTCAGAAGTGAATGTACCATTTTTCCCTCTTTAGAGTGGAGGAGAGGGGATGCCTCAGGTAGAGTATTAAGTTGTTAAACTACAGATTTGAGCGTGTGTGTGTATCAGCTGACCAATGTCTTCCCTTGCTGGAGGCTGTCTTAGGCTGAGTTCTGAAAACTAACCCCCATGATACTGCATGTAGGTAGGCTATTTGTTTCTCTAGTAAAATGCAGCACAACATGCACAAGCTTCCTCAAGAGTTCTTTGGGAATGTAGATTACAGTACCGATTCTTGTGCTCAGAAGTTCCTAGGAGGATAATTGAATAAGAACAATGGTGAACAAACCTCCAAACGAGCTTCAATGCAATACAACACTCCTTCCGTGGCCTCCAACTGCTCTTAAACGCTAGTAAAACTAAATACATGCTCTTCAATCGAACGCTGATTGCACCCGCCCGCCCGACTAGAATCACTACTCTCGGCGGGTCTGACTTAGAATATGTGGACAACTACAAATTCATAGGTGTCTGGTTAGACCGTAAACTCTCCTTCCAGACTCACATTAAGCATCTCCAATCCAAAGTTAAATCTAGAATTGGCTTCCTATTTCACAACAAAGCCTCCTTCACTCATGCTGCTAAACATGCCCTCGTAAAACTGACTATCCTACCGATCCTTGACTTCGGCGATGTCATTTACAAAATAGCTTCCAACACTCTACTCAGCAAATTGGATGTAGTCTATCACAGTGCCATCCGTTTTGTCACCAAAGCCCCATATACTACTCACCATTGTGACCTGTACGCTCTCGTTGGCTGGCCCTCACTACACATTCGTTGCCAAACCCACTGGCTCCAGGTCATCTATAAATCACTTCTAGGCAAATCACTGCCTTATCTTAGATCATTGGTCACCATAGCAACACCCATCCTGTAGTATGCGTTCCAGCAGGTATATCGCACTGGTCATCCCTAAAGCCAACACCTCCTTTGGCCGCCATTCCTTCCAGTTCTCTGCTGCAAATGACTGGAACAAACTGCAAAAGTCTCTGAAGCTGGAGACTCTTATCTCCCTCACTAACTTTAAGCATCAGTTGTCAGAGCAGCTTACCGATCACTGCACCTGTACACAGCCCATCTGTAATTAGCCCACCCAACTACCTCATCCCCATATTGTTATTTACATTGTTATTTATTTTGCTCATTTGCACCCCAGTATCTCTATTTGCACATCATCTTCTGCACATCTATCACTCCAGTGTTAATACTAAATTGTAATTAGTTTGCACTATGGCCTATTTATTGCCTTACCTCCATAACTTACTACATTTGCACACACTGTATATAGATTTTCTATTGTGTTATTGACTGTACGTTTTGTTTATTCCATATGTAACACTGTGTTGTTGTTGTTTTTATCGCACTGCTTTGCTTTATCTTGGCCAGGTCGCAGTTGTAAATGAGAACGTTCTCAACTGGCTTACCTGGTTAAATAAAGGTGAAATAAAATAAAATAAATAAAACATGCACAAAGATGGCAGAATTTAGATATGATTTCATTGTTTTAGCACTATCCACTGAGTTCTACCGTGTGCGATATGGTTCAATGTGCCAATAAATCAGCACAATCTACTTTTTTGGTTTTTCAAATTTCCGGCATCTTGACGGTAAAATTTGGATCATGTATACTCTGCTAATGACCATACAAAAAAAGAGTAACGGAGAGCGATGTACAATACGGCGAACTTAACAAAACTAGGAATTTGTGGTAACTGCATGGGGGCCGCCATCATTATTCACCTCTGCTATTATTGTGTGCAGTGCCTTTCATTGTGAGATTATCGTTGTGGCAGATTACTATATTGGAATTACCACAGTTTTACTGTTTAACACTATTTTTGTTAAAACTTCATTGAAACTCCAGGTCCAGGCTAACACAGCAAGATGTTTCAACCTCTGGGCAATGTCACGCGTTAACGGAGTCACACTCCCACTGTAAAAACAGGCATATTTTTTTACAATCAGGGCCAAGTAATGCTATGTATGTTTTTGTGGGTATTTGTTAGTGCTTTAATGCAATACTAACAAGTAATTGTTCAAATATATACTTGTTTTTATTTGAACTATTACTTGTTAGTATTGCAAGATACACTGAGTATACCAAACATTAGGAACACCTTCCTAATATTGAGTTGCACCCCCCCATGTTGGCTCCAATGCTTCCCACAGTTGTGTCATGTTGGTTGGATGTCCTTTGGGTGGTGGACCATTCTTGATACACACGGGAGACTGTTGAGCGTGGAAAACCCAGCAGCGTTGCAGTTCTTGACACAAACCGGTGCGCCTGACACCTACTACCATACCCCGTTCAAAGGCACTTAAATATTTTGTCTTGCCCATTCACCCTCTAAATGGCACACATACACAATCCATGCCTCAATTGTCTCAAGGCTTAACAATCCTTAATTAACATGTCTCCTCCATGTACACCGATTGAAGTGGATTTAACAAGTTTATCACCTGCTCAGTCTATGTCATGGAAAGGTCAGGTGTTCTTAATATTTTGTATACTCAGTGTATATAGTGCATTGGGAAAGTATTCAGCCACCTTGAATTTTTCCAAATTCTATTTTAAAATGGATTCAATAATTTTTTCCCACTCAATCTACACACAATACCCTTAATGAAAATGTAAATAAAAAATAAATAAATAACATTTACATAAGTATTCAGACCCTTCACTCAGTACTTTGTTGAAGCACCCCTGGCAGCGATTCCAGTCTCGAGTCTTCTTGGGTATGACGCTACAAGCTTGGCATACCTGTATTTGGGAAGTTTCTCCCATTCTTCTCTGCAGGTCCTCTCAAAATCTGTCTGGTTGGATGCGGAGCGTCGCTGCACAGCTACTTTCAGGTCTCTTGAGAGATGTTCGATCGGGTTCAAGTCCGGGCTCTGGCTAGGCCACTCAAGGACATTCAGAGACTT